GCTGGAGGTGAGGGCGCGGGGGCGGCCCCGCCGCGGGGCACGACGAGTCCTTCGGGAGACGGCAAAAAAACTCTTTTCATCCTATTTCCTGTTTATTTTTAGCCCGCGATTGGGCCGATTAACGAAGGGGAGATGCTCGCCGAAGCGATGGCGTGAAAGATAATTCGTTGTGTGCTCTGACTTCTTGCAGTGCACCTACATCAAAATTGAGCAAGTCGAAAAGACCCACGCCGTGGTCCTGAGCCGTCCCTCCTGGCTCTGGGGGGCAGAGATGGGGGCCAACGAGCACGGCGTGTGCATCGGCAACGAAGCGGTGTGGGGGAGAGAGGAGATCTGCGATGATGAAGCTCTTCTTGGCATGGACCTCGTAAGGTTTGCACAGACTATTTTGGTAAATGGTACTGAATTCAGAATTTAATTTAAAAACATTTGGTTTGAGTCTGTCTTCTGCTGTTCTAGCCACAGTTAAAAATAAGTCTTGGCACAGATGTTAGATCTCTGCCAGGAGTTGGGAGCCCATGAGAGGTATCAGGCACTAGAACAGAATCTGTCAAGGAAATCATCAAATGTTTTTCTCTCTACAAAGTTTATAGTAAACTGAAACAAGACTCTCAACTAGAGCACAGCTGGAGTTCAGGAACTAGCGTTTGGGCCTTTTTCTAGGGTCTGTTCTCATTTCCCCCATCTTTTACACACATATTTTTAAGTTTCAGCCTTAGCCACGCATCTCCATGTAAATAGTGACAGCTTCTTTTGCCTGCCTTACTGGGTGCCAGTGTAACTCTCATTAACCTACAGCGGGCACTCAATTCTTCTTGGTACTGTTTCCCCCCAGTGCAATACCCACATGGGACTTGGAGGTGTTTCCTAGGAGCCCTGTCCCTGCCTTTCTGTATTTCCACGTGGCTGTTTTTCCCCATGTCAAGGACATACAGGACCCAATTCAAACAAGCCCTTTAAATGACTTGCTCCTTTCTCTTACCAGATCATACAGGTACATAAGAAAGAGCATTCCAATTCAATTTGAATACTCAGGCTGAATAGTTGTATGTAAAGTTCATAGTTCCAAAAATAACATCTTGCTTTTGTTTTAGGCTTGGACTCGAGAGAGCGGACACAGCTGAAAAGGCTCTTACCGTCATAGTTGATTTGCTAGAAAAATATGGACAGGGAGGAAACTGTTTGGAGAGCCACATGGTATTTACATACCATAACAGTTTTCTGATAGCCGACAGAAAGGAAGCATGGGTGCTGGAGACATCAGGAAAATACTGGGCAGCAGAAAAAGTAGAAGGTATGGATGATGCTCTTCGCTTTAAACATTTCAAATGCAGTAACAACTAGCAGTTCTCCACTTCTCATTTACCATTTCATTAAGGCATCAAACTAGCCTCCAGATATGTACATGTGCCTGTAAACAACGGGAGTTGCTTCCTAGGACATCAGTGTGGAGAGGCTAGCAGTTTCACAGAGGAGCTGAGTCACGGGGGGCCTTTTCCAGAGTCAGAGATGACCACTTCTGCACTTGGAAAACAGAGGACAGCAAGAAGGTCAGCATGAGAATGACAGCAGCATGTATGGTCTTAAGGATGGTGGCAGTCGATGACAATTTAATTTGGTGACAGGGTAGTACTGACAGGATTGGTGCAGCGGGCCCTGAAGTGGCCGATTCTTCCAGTGGACTTAGAAGGACAAGCTATGTCTTTGGGGGTCTAAGAGGAAGAATGTAAAGATGGGAATAATCAGGACAACTTGAAATACGATGTTGGCAATAGAAGTAAATGAGTCAGAACTGAGTGGCAGTGGAATTTCAATCAGAAGGATACACATAGCCAGGGAGAGAGGGCCAAAAATAAACCACAGGGCTCACAGAGCTTGTAGGAAACTCTTCAGTGCATAATTTGCTTTAGTAAGCTAATTGTAAACAAAATACCAAGAAAAAGCATTTGATGTATTAAAATGATTCTTTCCTCACCTTACAAACAGGAGGCGTACGGAATATTTCCAACCAGCTCTCTATAACAACCAAGATTGACAGAGAACACCCAGAATTGAAGGAATATGCCAAAAGCAAGGGCTGGTGGGATGGGAAAAAGGAATTTGATTTCACTGCTGCATATTCTTATGTCAATACTGCCAGAATGACCACATCCAGAGGCCGATATTGTGAAGGCTATAAACTTCTGAACAAACACAAAGGTATCATTTTTGATAATTTTTTTTTTAAGACATGCGAAGCATTTAGTGAGCTACATTAAATCGTAAATGATTAGACATCTGATGTGGGCAATCATTCACATGATTTGGTGAACCACAACTTACTAGAATAACTTTTTGCCTAAAGGAGAAACGCTGAACTTGAGGTCTTCTATCCATTTTTGCCAATTTGTTGATGAGGAAAAATTAAAACAAGGGTCAAATATCAAACACACACAGCTATAGTAACAGCACTGAGAGGTCACGTTATGACCATACCGCTAAATACTCCATAAGACCTAGCTCTGAAATATTTTGATAGGCTATATATTATTACTGTACCTCTAAGAAAAAAATCAAGAGGCTAAAACAGACTCCCAGTGCCAGTGGTTTGCAGCCACAAACAGATCCTTATGAACAACTTCAGTCTGGTACCATTCATATAGGCCTAAGACAACAGCACAGCATTCAGATACATATCTTGCATTTATTTTTTGAGATTGGTTTTTAAATCTTGTAGTTTCACTATAACTGCTACTCTAACCTTGTGTAGTCTAACAAAACACACAGAATAAAATAATTTTCTGTACTCTAAGCAGGTGCTCCTAATAACTAACTTATTCACTGATTTTTCAGACCTCTACAGAAAGAAGCTATTACTCCTCTTTTAACTGCATCCCCCTAGCAGGTTTTTGCTGCATCTGTATTCACTTGCTCATTTGATGTAATTAATCTGAACCAAAATTACATTGCACCCCTGCGTGTTTTTATTTATTTGGCTGAGCTCTGCCAGACCAAGTTTAGCATTTAGTTAATGTGTCAGAATGAATTACTTTTTGCTATCCTGCTCTAGCGATCATGTAAATCCTGCACTCATTTTGGGAATTGCAGGTTCTGAATAGTGAAAGCATTTTCATAATACCTGTATTTACTTGTATTATAACAATGCTGAGATTCTATCAGTGTTTTCATTCTAAATCCCCATTTTTAGGCATTTACCTGAGCCATTTTAAAAATCACACTAGGTGTTCAGGTTATCAGCCTCATATGGCTTCAGTTTGTTTAGATTTATTTTAAATAGGTGCCCTAACTAAAAGCTATTTGGTTTACAGCATCAGTAAAATCACTGGTTTCTTAATCTGTCCTTCCCAGCTTTTTCACTCAGTGGCCTTACAGTTTTTTTTCCAGGCTGCCTACCATGTGAAGACCATTTTTAGATAAACATTATTTATATTTCAGAAAACAGGGAATGTATTTCAGGAATACAAAATAATAAAAAAGTCTAGTGGAAAATATGCCATACCTTCTTTCCTGCTGGACAAGTTGCCAACTTGCAGCTGACAAACTGACTGTTGCTTCTTTTAATTTCTTTGATTCATCTAGCTTGCTGATTTCTTGAATTCTCTGGCTTTCCCAGGTAACTGTGGGAATACTTAAGAGTGTTTCCTTGCTGAAATGTAGTAGTGCTGCACACCTGTCTACAGGCAATTTGAATCGTGAATGAAAAAAAAAAATTGGGGACATCTGAATTAGCAGCAGAGTGATTCTTTTGAGAGGAAACAGCAAGGCAGTTTAAAAAAAAAGAATCTCTATGCAGCTTGAACTTCACAGATTCTAATTCATAGATTAAATGGTAGATGACACCTTCAAGTAAAAAAAAAAAAGTGAATGAACTAATATTTTTCTGCCATGAGCATACGCTCAACTGGTACACCAAATTTGAAAAGAAAACTACTGCAAGTGCTGCCTGTTAGAATATTGGATTGCCTAGTGATACCATGCCAGTATTTAAGCTTTCATGTACACTACATGAACAGCAATATCATTTGAACACTAGATGCAGAGGCATATGTGGAAAGGGTTTTGTTTCACCTAACTGAGAAGAAAGAATTATTTTCACAGAGACACTTGGCACTATACCTCACATAGGTAGTTGATTAAGACTTCTTTACAAATGGATGTACTATTGTAGTTTCTGTTGATTCTGACTATAGCACATGTTGTTACTCCAGAACATCCTTTCAATTGTCAACTTGAAGCCCAAGTGCTTTGGAAGGTCAGATGATTAAAATAAATAAAATTTAAAAAAAAAAAAGTAGTGAGAGTCTTGGCATTTCATTTTCAAAGTTACACACAAAACCCATGCACAGTTGTTGTTATTTTTACATTTCCAAAGCAACTTAGTGGTATTAACTGCACAAATACCAATAACCATTATAGTGATTTATCTTAACTTCCACACAGTGCTCAGAAAGTTCAACCTTTAATCCAAGCTACTAATTTTCATCTGAAGAGTTACTCTGTGAGCAACCATTTGCTAGCCATATGTATTTTACCATTCTAGGAAACATAGTGTCGTTGTCCTCTTCTTTTTCTAGGCATAAATGTTACAGCTCATTATCACCTACTCTTTGAAATAAATACTTTGGGGAAAATGATAATATTTTTAAGTGTATTACGTTTTAAGGTATGCTGTTGGGATGATTTTTTTTTCCCTGTCAACACGGACAAACTAAAATTGGCATTGCCTATTAAAGGAAAAAGCAGCCAGTTGTAGAGAACATGCCATTTAGTTGGTATTACAAGTTGCACTGTGTGTAAATAATTGTATTGTCTCTTAAATAGGATTTATCACTTCTGAAATAATGATGGAAATTCTTCGTGACAAAGAGAGTGGCATTAATATGGAAGGTGGATTTATGACAACTGGAAGCATGGTGTCTGTATTGCCTCAGCAGCCTAATCTGCCATGTATTCACTACTTTACCGGAACTCCAGATCCTGCTAGGTGATGTAGCAGCAAGTAATTAGGATTAAAAGTTGCAAATACTTAAATGAAAAGTGTTGCAATTTGTCTAATTATATTCCTTTTTGCTTTGCTTTATTTTTTTTTTCCTGAAAAAGCATAATCAAAAAGTAGGAGGAACATAACGTACATTAATGCTATCTACCAACCTACTTAGTAAAACATTGCTATGACACTGATTTAAAGACCAGTTAGGAAATTTTTTTTTTTTTTTTTTTTTTTTAAGACTTCTTTCTTAAAAGAAGGAATTAGAAGAAGGGGGGGAAAAAATACAATCTACTGACTCAACAATTTCAACAAAACTGTATCAATAAAGGATCTCTGTTCTATTTTCTCTTTCTAGGTCTGTATTCAAGCCTTTCATTTTTGTGCCCAATATTACTCAGTTATTAAAAACTAGCTCCCCTACATTTGGTCATAATGATCCAGTTAAGAAGCAACCACGTTTTCAGAGTAAACCAGATCGAAGACACGAGCTCTATAAAAAACATGAAAGTGCTGCTGTAGTTATGGAAACTATCAAGGTACATTGATTAAATTAGATTTCAATGCAAGCAGGTGGTTTATATAATCTCCTTGCTCACATTTTGTTAATGTGATAGCATTTAATGCCCTTTGATGGATTGTGAAGAACATTGTAGTGCACCAGAAGGCCATCGCCTTGGCATCTGGCAGGCATATGTTTCAAACACTAAAAACTGCAACTAGCACTTTGCTGTACTCCCAGGCCTAGCCCCAGACAAGTATCTGTACTGCTCCTCTTGCAAAGCAGCAGGCCACACGTACTCCTGCACTAGTCAGATAATGGGGAAATGCTTGAGCAGCCACAGGCAAATATACAGCTCCCGATAAGAGTACTTAAAACTCTTCAGGATCCTGGTCTCAGGCAGTAAGGAGGACATGCCTTTTATCATTGCTTGGTATGGACAGGAAAGGAAGCAAGATCACAAAGATAGCTGGACACAATGGTGAAGCAGGGAGGTAGTTGCTTACTTTTAGCAGCAGCATCTGTCCTATTTACAGATACATGTTCTAAAAAAATAAGACATATGCCCATTTAAGTTTTGGTAGCATAAATACCTAGAGCAGCTTTAATTTTGTTTATTTTCAATCCATCAGACAAGGATGCGGGGAGATGAAGTGAGTGCTAAATATTAGGAAGGATATCTAAGAAAACCTGTCATGGTGCTAACTTCTACCGACACAAATTTGTACCCTAGAAGCTATTAAGAGGTTAAAATAAGGACGATAGAACAGAGTTTTGTTAGGGTGAATACTACATACTCTGTATAGTTTTTAGTGAAATACAGATGTTTCTTTTTGCAGGACAAAGGTAAAGAGATGCTGAAAGAGATACAGGAGTTGGAGAAACAGAAGATAAGTGAAATGGAATCAATCCTGCAAAACGGATGTCTTGACATTAACCAAGTGGTTAACCTTTTTTCACAGTGTGTAGAAGAAGAACTCAAAATATATAGCTAAAACTACTATTTGAACGTTGTAAAATTCAGTTTTATGATTAAATTTTCTAATGAAGTGGCTATATAGATTACATCTTATTTTCAATATACTAGTTAGTATGACAGTTTTAAAGATGCGGATTCATATTCAGGCCAAACAGCTTTTGGTTGTATAAAGCAACGCTGAAAAGGGTCTTAAAAGCTAGGCAGTGACTTTGTCTGTATGTAGCATAAAGCTGTCAGCAGAGATTGATTTCGTTAACAAACAGACACAATTAGAATGTAATAGCTTGACTAAATTGCGGAACAACCCCATCTCTGGATGAAGAACATGAACTCAGATTTGGAGAACTCACTTCTAGTGTACACACATGCAGCTTTTATAGTCGAGATAATTGTAGAAAAATTTCACATTGCCGGAATTAAAATGGTCATGCTGAAGGACTTTCTAAAATGTAGAAGCTATTACTTGCACTGAATAAAAAGGAAAATGATATGCAAGGCAAGTAAGATTGATATTCAGTTGTTTGATAAAACCATTCTAAGATGTTTCATGTATGAACCTTTTACTCCTTCAATGTAAAATGAGGCTAAGAGTTCAAGATATATTAAAACCAAATCACAGTTACAATTTTACCATTGTTTGTTGTGAAATCTGATTACATGGAATTCAACAATGCGAGCATCCTGCAAGTTACCACAGAATTTTCACTTCCCTGTCTATTTTCCCTACCCTGATACTGAAAAATAAACTATTTATATACAATATGATTATTGTCAAATTAATTCTGCAATACACTTTAAAAAACTCCCACATGATGTTATCATGTTCTTGAATTGTTACTTTTTTAAATGAGGCAACTAGAAAGGAAAAGGTTGGGGTACACAAGTATATACATGTACTCAGCAGGACACTTTAAAGGACTTTTAAAATTTTTTCACTTCATATAAAGCCTTTTAACCATGACTTGTCTTGCCAAAATTACTAGACTATGGACTTGATTTAGTCAAGCTTTTTGCCCTGCCAGGAACTCTTCCTCCCTGATCCTATTTAAAAGTAATGATCAATATGTGACACTACTTTTATTATCTGTGGCAAGGCACAAACTGAGCAAACAACAAAGAAAGAAGATTCTGACTTCACTACATGATCCAGCAGGATAAAAAGTGTGACTGGAAGGAAAAAAAACCACCAACCAACCCAGCACTTCTGCAAACCTTCAGACGAGAACATGTAACATGAAATGGAGCATTAGAGCTGCAGTAGCAGTATGTGACATGACATAGCATCCCCACAGAAAGACACAGCAGACCACAGAAAGACCATTCTTTGATGATTTTTCTATATTTAGCCAGTTTCTAGAATCATCTCAGATGCTAAAGATGGGGCTAAACACATGCAGTTTTCTCATTCTGTAAACTGTTCTGTCCCCCCACTAGTAAAAAAAAGTATAGGCAAACAAAAGAAATACGTATACAATGAAGTTTGCAGAATGAGCAAGAAAATTAAGAGCTTGGCAGAATTTGTTCTTCCTGACCCTACAATGAAAGTAGAAGTTAATTTGGGATACTGCGTTCAGATCCATAGCAAGAAACTAATGAGTCACGAAAGGTTCTTGAACTTTCTAGTTCTAGTGATCCTATGTGTACCAAGTGGCAGTAGCAAGTAAGATTGAGTAGCAGGTAAGACTGAAAGTAAGCTTGAGTTGACTGAACGTTTTGTGCCTGTCTCGCCAACAAAATTTCTTAGAAGTTCAATAGTACAGTGGATGTTTGTGAACTGGAAGGTATATTTAATAAATTTTTGCTGTATTTACCTGTTTTCCTCATGGATGTCTATATCTGACAATTGGGTGTATCTTTATCCTATTTTGGATCATCAGCTGTTCCACACTAGCTCTTTGATAACTTCAAAGCAGCAATAAATGCCAGGTAAAACTGTGCTGGAAACCAAGGTATGAGTCAAGTTTACAGGTAGTATAGCAAAACAAGAGAAACAATTTTATGCTACAATGCATAGTGAAGTTACACAGGAATGAAAGTAGTGAAGGTGGTGGAGCAGGCCTTTAAGTGAACTTCTTCGCCACTTAATCATGGGGTGGCAATTAGCCAGGTTAAGCATATCGGTCTGGTTGTTATATAGGCAGATACAGTCCAACTGTTCATCTGGTTTCTGTGCTAGAGGATACAAAGTAAAAACAATGTGATGTGTGGAGATGGATCAAGTGATGGCCAACAGAATACAGGATATTTTGGTACCTTTTTTTCCCCCTGGGATTTCATCCTCCTAGAACATATGCAGTGTAAAAACAGAAAATGAAGATGAGGTCAGGAAAAATAAATAACCTTCCCTCCCACAACCATACATTTAAAAAAAAAAAAAAAAATCAGAATGTCCTCTAGAGGGCAATCTTTGCATGTCTTTCATCTAGGAATACATCTTACAGTTTATTTTTAAAGGTCTAGACCTTTATGAAGGATCATATTAAAAAAAGTACTAAAATTGCTACCTAGAAAACTAAAAGTTTGATATTCACCCTGTCCATCATCACAATTATTTTGAGATCAGTGCTAGAAAAAAGATCCATTGTTTCACTGGAGACTCCCCTGGACTTACTTGTTCAGTGGATGTTTTCATGGAACTGTAACTTCCAAGTTAATTGAGATTTATCCCAAACTAATCCACCTTCAAAATAAAAGAACTCATTGCATGACTGACCACATCTTTAAAGCAAAGCTATATCTAACCACCAAAAATTCACACATCAGTAGATCAACTATCGACATACATCAAATTGTTAACTATTTTAAAACTTGCCAGTGCTCCTTGGTGGAAGCAAATTTTTATCAGATAAAAGAGTTATTTAACTTTCTAAAGCTATTCAAAACTCTATTCTTACCTTCCAGAAGTACCCAGTGATTTAGAAATAGATTATCATATCCTGTATTTAATTCATAGTTTCTTTAGTCTATTTATTAACCATCATAGACTCTCATCGGACTGACGGGTATGATATCAGCAGTCACAATGTTGTAACAGTTAATCTAACAGAATTTGGTGTCAGTTGTCAATTAAAGGTGTTCTCTTCATTAAATCTGTAACAGGGAGCCTTCTCTAAGCAGAAATTTTGAGCAATTTCTTACTTAAAACAGATATGTCCAAATCTAGGGAATAGCAGAGCCATTATAAAAAGGGAGGCAACGGCAGGACTTTTTGATGAAAATGAGAAAGACAAGACTGTAAGAGCAATGACTATGCATAGGACTGTAAAACTGACCTAAGATCAACTTCTTGAACATTTGAAGGATTTTCTAAAAAATAAAAAAAAAATAAAAAAAAAAATTGTATTTGGTAAGTAGATGATAATGTGAAACGTTCCTAAAGATCTGTTTAGGCTGTTAGACAAAAACTGGTATCTTTGTGTGAACACCCGTTAACAAGTCCTCTGCCTACTTAAAAAGCATCAAGGGTGGATTTAAGAAATACCAAATTTGAAACCCAAGAGCCACCTTAACAGATCTCTCAGAAAAACACATTTGTCATAAATCTTGACATGCACGCATAACCCTCCCACACCTCACATCACATCAAAGCTCAGAACTCTGAAATCAAGTAACTGATTTATTGACAAGTTACAGTATTTAGAAGCCAGACATACTCACGGCTTCTGCTCTTAAGTCACATGTATCTAATTATTCCAAAATATTTGACGTAGCCGTCTTCAGCAGTTGTAATGGAAATACGCTATGGTTTTCCTTTGTGGCCACAGCCTGATACAAATGTCAATTATTTTGTTGCTGGAAAACATTAAAATATGTCAGTTTGTATAGCATACATATGCAGTAGGATGCAGTTATGTTTCTGTGCATGCTGCAGATGTGCAATAAGACTGACAGTAAAAGGAATTATTTTTCCAATATAAGTCTTGCATGGAGTTATAGCTACCATAAAACAACTGTTTCTTGAACAGTAGTTTATGCTGCTAAAATCACTTTTAATTCTTAATACAAAGTAGATGCATAAGTAGCTATTAAAAAAACCTGTGTACTAAAAAAAAAAGGAAAAAAGAAGTGAAAGACTTCAAAAAAAAAAAAAGGATGAGAAGAGTTATTCATATGCTTGAGCAAATAACTTTTTTTTTAATATCTGGGTTCCTTTCCCTCACTATATAAATTTTTTATATAGACATATAAATGCTGTTTTTGCATTTTTAAAAGGGCAGCATAATAGCTATCAGATACTACAGTTGGTCTTTAACCTTTTCAAAATACTGCAGAAGACACACAGATTCTCAGATTCTGCCTTCAGTGCACAGGAATCTGAATGACACTAGAGTAACTAAACATCGTAGGGGGATACCTGAGGCTTATTAGAAACCTGTGTTAGGCAACCAATACTAAAATTTTAGGATCTTTAGCTACTCTAAACCCTAACTTGGATGTTCAGTTAGGTTTCTTTATATAACAGATTTAAAAGTAATTGTATTTCATTTAAAAGGTTTTATGATTTGATAAAATTTTTCATCTTGACTTGCACAGGTATCCAAGGCTTCCATAACATCTTTATTTGAGGCTGGCACTTCTGAATTAAACTGGAAAGGCTAATTTCAGAAGGTAAAAACCTACTCTTGACAAAGCTGTTACTGCCACCATAAGGCAAAACTTCAGAACCAATTGTTTATATGAAATTCCATTATATCATTTCCTAATTTGGGGAAGCGGTGGGTATTTTTATGTTTTTAAGATTTGGTAAGTTTGTACAAAACCATTATTTATTCCACTCAATATTTCCTCAACTTTAATACTCTGACATCGGAATCATCTTCACAACAATTCTACTTTTACAAATCGAGGATTTTATCTTTGAGGGAGAAACAAACCACCTGATCTGAGGTGTAAACAGCTAAAAAAAGTTCCTGGTGTTAGACAAGAGTAGAGTAGTAAAAACTGGGGTATGACAGAAGAAATCCTACTTCTATGAAGTCAAGGGGAAGCCTGACCATAAACAGGAATCAATATTTCATCACATTAAAATATGGAAAACATACAGCAACATGAAAAATACCTCTCACTCATGTTTTGGTTAGCTGGGTTTTTTTGTGGCACCAGCCACTAAAGCTGCTGTTATAATGCCTCTATAATATGACAGCAACACATATAATTTTACTACTTGTTTTGCTCAAAATGGAAAAAATGCTCTAAATCCAGAGCATCTTGTTTTGTTCTAGTTACATTCCGGTTGGAATGCTCACTAAATATCACTTGCTACCATTTCCTTCAGAATAGACACAAGTAGAACCACATCTCTTAACTTTACAAGTGAGAATAACACAATTCTCTGAGAGCCCTGAGAAAGAAAATCTTGCAATTTCAGTGGTGAAGGCAGAGGAGATGGTCACGTTCACCCCTAACTGCCCGTCCTCTGCCTACATGCTCAGGTCAATGGCTCTCAGCTGCAACTGATCTCTTAGGAATAAAGCGGTAATACAAATATTCATCCCGAAATTCAAATTCATTCGTAATATGCTGGACGACACCTCCTTTCATCAGTCTGTCACCATACATCACAGCTTCACCACGGTCAGAGGCAAGGCCAACTTGCATGAGCCAGTTCACCAGGTCACAGCCAAAGAAGATGCCAGTGGAGATCTTTGCACCACACCTGTATGTCAAAGGAATGATTCACCCACATGTTCTGTAAATCTGGTATCACCACTGCACGATGGGGAAAGGCAAGGAAAAATAGCAGGAAACAAGGAAAGACATCATGATAGTTAAGAGCATTGTTAGAAGAGAATTTGCAAGTTTTGCATATTAGGGACATGCCAATGCTCACTACCTTTTCCTACAGACACTTCAATGAGAAGCAAAATGTAGATACAAAGTTATTTTAGGCTTGTGCAAATAAACTTCAGTGAACATAAGTAGCAATTTTCCTAAAAACACACACAATGTAATTCTATTTCTTGGATACTTACTTCCCATGTACTCATTAGCATGACCATTTCTACAACAAAATATCTGATTTGAGTGCAGCATGCGGGTAGCAACAGGAACTCAATCTGCACTTGAATTCCATTTTATAATTTCTCTACAGCTTTAAACAGACACTAACTGCTTACATATATTGTAAACAAAAACCATTTAACTTGCATATCTGCTTAAATATTTACCACACAGGTAGTACTAAGAATAAACAAAACCTTTACGACAAGACTAAACTAATTTGCTTTTACATATTTATGAGGCAATGCCACTAACATCTACCTAGTTGCAGTAAAAATACCATTCAGAAATTTACCTGCAGCAATGAATGTTTCTGGTTATCTAAAATCTGCTCTATGGAACCCAAGCACAGGGTTTCTGAAGATTAACAGCTACACAGCAAAAAACAAACTTCTTTCTCTATTTTTTTTTTAAGTTAAAAGCAGCAGTAACACAGAGCAAGTGTTAACATCTGTTAGCAGAGAAGCAAAAATTAAAATAAATAACAATCCATGATTACAAGGTCTCAGTTACAGTACGTTTAAATCAAAGAGGATAAGATCAAGTTAGATGAATATTTAAAATGAGAAGATAAATGCTTTCTTTGAACTCACAAGGAGAAATAAGACATGAAACTAATTCCACACAAACATAATATTAAAACAATGAAGCAACAAATGTCAGTTTGATGTATTCTCAGGTGATATACGATTAAAAAAAACCCCACAAACCCAACCAAACGAACAGCCCAAAGCACAAGAAACCACAATAGCAGCAGAGGCACAGGAAACAGCTGTAAAACCTGTCCTATTTCAAAACAAACATTTTCTGATACATCTTTTCTGTCTGGCATGAAAGAAACAAGTCCTTGAACTGCCATAGTTCATTTTTCCTAAATGGATAACTTCATTACTTTATTTCTTATGGAACATTACTGATTTCTGAGGAGACTGAACAAAATCATGATGCTGTCAAAAAACAGTTCTGGAATGTGATTTTGGACTATCTGACCATTAAAAGACCACCCCGTCCCGCCAAACTAGTCCTACTTAAAAGCTCACACAACAAGTTGAAGTGTCCTGTTAGAACAATTCTTCATGTCTCCATTTCATGCAGTAAATATTTAAATAAAGGCAGAATCTTTTTCTTGTTCCTGCTGCTTCTGTCTGCATTTCTCTTCTCATCCACCTACACGTACCTGAACACATAATCCTTGATTTGGGTATCATAATTTGCATCTGAAAGCTTTGCTGATCTCACAAATTGAGGATTAGGCCTCACAAGAGGAATGAGCAAAAGAAATTGTATGAACTCAGAGAGGTAAAGGTCCTAAAAACACTGTAATCTCACGTATTGAGTGGCCTCTGAGTACACACTGACATCAATTGCAATAGTTTTGCCTCCTGTAAAAGCTATTTATTAGTAAACAATCAGTCACATAAATACTGACACCGTCTTAATCTCAAAACAAAACAAATGAAGGGTCTCAAGTTTGACAAAACTCAGACACAGGCACGCTATTACAGGCATTACCATATACATTTATTCAGAAAGATTTTCTCTCCTGAACTCCAGCTAAATGCAAAAACTAGGGCCATGCCTTAATGATGTAAAACTTTTTATAATTTATATAAAATCTAGATGGGACAATGTGATAGCTTGCACCTCAATGGTTCAGTCTGAGACTAGAAACATTTCTCTGCTACTGCTAAATTCTTAATCCTCACCTTGAGGTTTGAATAAATATGCCACAAAAGGAATCGCCCACAGACAGATTAAACTGCATTTCATTATTTTCAAAAGGTGACCTTTGTAACAAGTTATATGTGCAGGGAGGAACCTTACCTTCTGCCTCTGACAATGCTTTTGACACAGTGATCTCTATGATAACGAACAAACTGTTGACAGGTCATCCTGATTTCCTCAGGTACAGAGGGATCCGTATGCCCTGCTGCTTCTCTTCCTCCCCAGAGGAATTCAAGTCTTTTAACCAAAAAAAAAAAAAAAAGGAAAAAAGAAAAAAAGAAAATAAATGAAACCAACAAATCAATCAAAGGCATTTTTAAGGAAACTGCAAATGATAGTTGTGATAAGCTTCCCATGAGTTCTGTTCTGTTTTACTGTTTTTGTGCCCAATACTTTATATACAATCTTCCTAATAAACTTGTATGGCCTTTGAACACTGAGAGGTTTTATTCTAGGCTCAGGCAGAAGGAAGGACAGAGAGTAGTTGGGAGCCAGCTTTAGCTGCTGGATTCACACCGCAGCCAGTTAACTCTAAGTCAAAGATGGCTTTGTACAACTTATGCCTCCACAGTGAGGTATCAATGAAAGTGTCCATCCACACAAAGCACTTGCATGAGGTTATGAATACAGGACTTTAAAACAGTCATGATAGAACCTGGTTCAGCATTCGCATCAAAGTTTTAATTTATCAGCTGAAATTATTTCTCAAGATCCATCATCTCACTGATCCAATCACATACTTCGCTATTATTTGCCAAAGATTTTGTCTACAGGGAGCCTGTGGGATTTTTGTCTTTGGGAGTGTCATTAGGACAGCAGTAAAAACTCATGCACAGTGAACTGCAGTTAGCTCTCCACAACTGGAAGAGAAAAGAAATTTGGAAGATCAAACAAATAGGAAATGGAATGCAATGGCACCGAACACTCAGTACCCTTTAAAAATTATTATCTTTAATAACTAAGTTTTTAGGTGTAAGTGTAAAGTTTCTATTTACCTTCGCTTGAATGGTAGAATGATTAAATGCTTATCTAAGCCAAAAATACCGAAGGAAATGAAGCCCTACAGGAAAAAATACAGAAAAAGCAACTTTAAGCAAAACCTTTGGTTTCTAAAGAACAGAAATAAAATGTTAAAAACTCATTGCCAAAACACACGTGAGAAGTATCCCTCTTCTCTAGATATCATTCCAAATGCATTTTGTATCTGCTTTGATTTTTCATTTGGGCCTTAGAAAGGCAGATTAATACATAACAGTCCATCAAAGAAACTGTTCCAAGAACAGTTCAGTAAACCTAATGCTGTGACATGGCATCTGACACTTAAAACATCAGTAACCTTACATAGCCAGTTATTTAAATGTCTTGGTTAATGTCAAGAAAAGAACCAACTTATTCTAATTTGAACACTAGAATGTTCTCTAGTTAATTCATTTTTCTGTGCTGCTTTTGTATCAAAACTACTATCATTACTTGATACTGCGGTGCATCTTGTAGGCACATCCACGGATCTGTAAAACATTCCTCTAGTATGTGTATTAACACTGCCTTGCTTTCACCCTCCTAGATAACAAAGCTGTCTTGTGTCAGTTTGCACTGAAATAGGCTACGTGGAGCTGGAACAATTATACATCTAATTGTCAGCTATTAGTTAATGGTGCTGTAACTGAAACTGAAGAGATAATATCTTAAAGCCTTACAGCGAAAGTATCCATGTAGCCATCTTGCACCTATTTAGTTATACTGGTGTAATTCTACAGAAGTGACACCGGTGAAACTTTCTGGTACAAATAAGGCTAAAATCCTACTCAATTTCCATAGGCATTTGGCACCCAGTTGTCATTTGTACCTTTGAAAGTGTTCATGCACACAAAACACGTTCATGCACATAAAAGACATGCATTATGATAAGAAAGCTATCAAAGCAAAAGAAAAAGCTTGAGAAAAAAAGGCAAAACAACATAAGGAGCTGGTGACTTCAGCATTGTTTGAGGACTTCAACTTACAGTGCTTGTAACAGCATGTGCTGCAACACCCACTAACAAAGTCATTTTCAGAACAGAAGTTGATAAGTACCTGACCAAAATTAAACACAGCACAGAAGAACTGCAATTCCACATATAGCCTTCCAGGCTCTTGGTTGAACAGCCACCACAAACAACTGGAAAGATTCTGTTAAGAAAAAAAAAAAAAACAACAAAAACCACAAACCTAGCCTGACTGTTAAAAATCACAAGCACTTTCTTACTCTTCACATGCTAACAGATTCTTGCACATTTTCACTGTCTTTATTTAACAAATGATTCAGATAAAGACAAATAAGAGGGAATAAACACCTTAAAACATCAGTTTTAGTTAGACTTAATAGTGGGCGGGGGGAAGCTTGTTTGGTTTTAAACAAAATAATGCAAAACAACCAGTGTAGAGGTCCTGCCCCTTCATATGTTTACATCAGGAACTTGCCTTAAGCATATAAGTATTCAACCTAACACAGACAATATTAGCCCAGACAGATTTGCAGTATTTGTCTTTAGGCCTGTTTGGCTGAGACCAGTGCTTTCTACATCTTTTCTGCATAGTTAAGATTGCGTTAAGCTGAAGCACATACCACTTCAGCTATTTTAGATGCCTGACAGAACAAAAAAACTTCCAAAGTTAACCCCTTCGGGTGTAAAGGCTAATTCTTTAATGTAACTGGTCTCAGTTCATAGTATATATGTAATCATTCAGATACAACTAAAATAGAGGTTAACATTTGGGACACCTCTTAAATACAGAGGATGTAAAAAATATATTAGCATAGAATATTTGATACAGGAAATTTGAGGGAAGGAAAACTTCCATTTTGTAATTTAACAGGACCTGAAAAGCAGTAACTATTACACTACATAGTTGTGCCACACTGTCCTGCTTTGCAGTATTACATATTTGTGCCATAGTATTTTCCATTTCAAATAAAAATACTTCCCCCTTAACTGTCATCCGCAAGAAGCTCAACTTTGAGCATTACACTCAGAGAGAGTTGTTTCTCATCTTTGTCACAGTTAAAAATTCAAATTATATCCCCAATGAATTACATTCTGGTATTTCACACTTTTACACAGGAGCAGCCACCTTCACAGCTGGGATCTAGTCAATAATGATGCTTGGCAATACCAGCCTAGCTACATTGCCTCCAAACCACCACTAAAAGCAACAAAACTGCATTTTCCCATTTCAAATAAAGTCTTACATTATTCTTCATTATTAAAGCACCTCAAAGAAATCCAAGTTCCAGATATAAGACAATCAGATTGAAACAATTTTTGTACAGTCTCCTTCAGAAGTAGAATTCACTTTATATTTTTAATTGATTATTGTCTCGGGAATAAGACTAGCTCTTGAGAAAAATGGGAAGAGGGGCGGTAGTGATGAATTAATTATCAAATGATAGAATTCCATTTTTTTTCCCCTTTAGGGTTCTCCAGTGTGGCTTGCTCACTAACATCATCAATCTTAACTTGCCTTTAATTTATGAATAAGACTGCTCTTGAGAAAAATGGGAAGAGGGGCGGTAGTGATGAATTAATTATCAAATGATAGAATTCCATTTTTTTTCCCCTTTAGGGTTCTCCAGTGTGGCTTGCTCACTAACATCATCAATCTTAACTTGCCTTTAATTTATGATGTGGCACAGAAAAATTAATTTTATGATATCCCTCTTCCAGTAAGGGAACAAAATAAAGCCTCTAACTTATTTAATGAATTGTTACATGAGGAATTGGAAGATTTTTACTGGACTGTCTACATAGCTTTCCTAAAAATCATTCCACCTCAATGAGTTAAACAACATGGGGAGAAAAAAATATTTACAGCAAACAGGCCGACAACAAGAAGTAAGCACAGCAGCACATGTCTGGCCAGCTGTTTGTCTCCAGTCTGTAGAAGCTGTTCTTCCTGAGCCAATATGCAGGTTTGAGCACTGCAACAACTCACACACTGATCAGCTGAAAAACAAACCAGAATTTTTCATTAGGCTTCTAACTTACGAACTCCATGAACAAACTTGTTAATGTAACCTGCTGACTTAAATTACCTTGTAAGTATCTGTACTGAAGTCACACACATAAAATTTAATATGAGCTTTGACAATAACCTGTTCAGACATCTGATGAATCAAATGAAACAGTAGCTTACGTGTGCTCCTAAAATGAAGAAACTTTTTGCAACAGAACTCTTCTTGCAAAGGTTCAATGCAAACTTAAGTTGTGGTTAACATTTAGAAAACACTACTAGAAATAATGAAAAAATAGCATTTTCTCAGAACAGTTTTTAAACTTCAAATAAATTTCTGGAATAAATATTTCAAGTGTACCATCAGCTCTGATGTTTTTATTCTGTATCTCAGCGTTGTTGAGCTCTAGATCAGACAAGCAACCGTATTTATTTCAGTTCTGTGACTGTATTTTTTAACATGGTATATCAGAACACTGTCATAATTCTATCAACCAAAAGAGCCAAACACACAGAGAATGGATGCTTGTCTTCCAGCTAGAGTTCTAAGGAATTCTGAGTATCTTCCTCTAGATGGCAGTGAAAAACTTCCTGGCAAGGACATACCTAAGTATTTGCACCAGATACCTGTCATAGCAGTTTAATGGGATAGTAGAAGGATTAGTAATTATTACAGCCAAAGTTACACAAGTGTATCCATTACAATTTGCTTTTACCGACTTACAGTTTTGAAGTGTTCACTCAGTAGGTCGAAAAAATTGCCACTCAATCATAAGATATTTTCTACCTTATCTTTTAGGGTAAGAAAATTAAACTGGCCCTCCTCCATCATTGGAAGACATTCTTATGATGCTTGTTTGAATTACTTAATAGATAAAACAGTTGGCAATAGGTGGAAAGCTAGCATTTTATGACAGGAGACATAACTAAATATGTTTCAGTGTGAAATATTTGGATTTGTTTAAAGTTATTTTGCATCCAAACAAAGCATAAGAATATGGACTTCCTTGTTAAGGATTTAAAAAACTAAGAAAAAGAAAATAGAAAAAAAAGAAAGGTTCCACTGCAGCTAGTTTTGATTATTGAAAGCGATGTACGATGAGAATGGGCTGAGCATGCAGTTTTCCATCAGGTGCTGAACAGTCACTTTGATCCATTTTTTCTATTTTAGTGACTCCTAAGGCCCCCTTAAGTCAATTTTCTACATCTACTCTCCCCTAGACATGGATCATACAGCAGCATGGACATTTGATCTAATCTCCAGTAAGTGCTTGCTCCTCTGGATCTAAAGTTTCTCATTCAAAACCTGTGCATGATTACAACAAAGGCTTCAAAGGCCTTTTTAGAAGACACAAGATCTGAATATGAGAATGTAAAAAAGTGTGTTTAAGTTGAAAACTTGAGGTGAAGTAGGGTTACGCATTCAACTTCCCAGTGTCCAAACAAGGCAATGATGGAGACGTAAAGTCTAAACACTCAGAAGGACATATTAAAGTAGCTTAGTGGTAAAAAACCCAACCCAAAACAACTGTCCATCTTGAGCACTGAAAGATTACTAATTAACTATCAGGCAGAAGAGAACAAACACCTAACATATTGCCTAATACTTGAATTTAATATGAAATAGAAGTTATCCAGGTAGAGTTGAGAGAACAACAGCCTAGTTTCTTTGTGTGAACAACACACATAAATGTTGTGGAAGGGTTTGTAGTATTAGACCAAGGAGACACTACTGCTTTACCTGTCTCAATTGGAGGAACCTTGCTTTCAACAGCATTTGACACTGCTTTGCTCTCTCTAGCACAGGATAATTCACCATTTGTTGTTTGACAAGAACAGCAACCTATTAAGCATATACAGTAACAGGATAGTTAGCTTTCTTCACTACCATAATTTATTTTCCAAGTATAACAATATATTCTATACAGCTTTAACTATTATGCTCAAAAATAACCCAAAAGGAGAAACCAGACTTAATTTTTCCAATGTGCTGAGAGGGTAAATGGGTTACACTACTAATATATAGAAATATTTAACATAGCACTACCACCACGGAAGCAACACAAGTACTTTTAGCTAGAGGGAAAATATACAGGAGGTGATCAAAAGGGCTGCATACAAACAAGGAGGATTAGAAACACATTGAGTAGCAATGCTGCAGGCATACCATTCATTCTCGGAGAGATGGTTTAGTGGGTAAACAATCTAAGACACCTAGTGGACTGCATTTATCACATCCTTATCAAGATACCATTACTTACATAAAAACAATACACATGCTTTTTTTCCTGTCCACTTCCCCCACCCTTATAGTGATAATCATCAAACTTTCCTTAGAAACATAAGCCTAAATCCCTGGGCAGTTATATCTAGATTTTCTTCTGTCCTAGCATAATGCTTGAAGGTGTAAACAGCTGTCCTTCCCAGGTCAGAATTAAATCTGGAACATTATTTTATTGTATCCCAAGCCATGTATTCTTTTGCAAATCTACTTTCCCCACCTCTTTCTGTAGATGGCTGTGCAGAAGATCCTCGAGAAGGCTGTGCAGAAGATTCTGCAGAAGGCTGAGGCACAGTGGCTGAAACTCGATTCCCCTCACTCCCTTCCACTTCAACTTCCTCCACTTGGCTACGCGGTGAATATGGGTTCAATATCTCATAGCTTGACTCTTGCCTATTTCTGTTCATGCACATAAGTGAGATACCTGACATCAATATACTGATGAACAGGATCACTGCTGTGGTAATTATCTGTTAAGAGAGCAAAGAAAATACACTTAAATAGAAAATAAAGGAAAATATTTGCATATATCTGTCTATCTAACTTCTGTACTTTCCTAAATATACTAACAAATGCATCTGAATAAGACAGAGTTTTTATATTTACATTTGCATTTACAATGCATCTTATGGCATTGAAGGAGCAATCAGTACACGAGACTAATTTTCCTTGCCTGAGTAACTCAGCTCTTTTTTAAAGACCCCTATTTTCCCATGGGGACCCCTATTTCCCATGCAATCCAAAAACATCCCCTCACCATCATAATCTTTCCCCTCAGGATCATTAGTGCTCCAGTTTAAGTTCTGTTCAGGTACCTTTTAATTCCAAAGAGGTATGTGCTCTTGTCACCCTCTGGCACAGCTCTAATTTCCACGCTTTCTCCAATGGGGAGCATCCCATTAATTAACCTTTCCTTCTAATCATCTGCCACTGATAGCCTCACAGTGGACTCTGGGTATTTTAGTACTTGTGAAAGTGCCACATGAATAACCTTGAGAGACTCATAGCCTCTCTATCCATAAGACAGACAGACGGAAAACACAACAAATATCTATGCTGGTGCACTTCACATCCTCTGATAAGAGGAATTATTTATTGGTAAAAACTGTAGTTCAGGCTCAGGGACTTTCAATGCATGATTGTGCAGAGAAGTCTCCCATAGTGCAAGCAGCTGCTACACATGTAATGTAGATCCTATCTATTACAGACCAAAAGCCATTAATTAGCTATTGGATGGTAACAATTTTAGATAATTATCAAGTGAGACTACAAATTAGTCACCAGGAAAAGGGCTCGGCAATTCATTACCACTCCTAAGCCTTTTCTTTGGGAAACCTACTCCCTCTTTTTCTTAGTCGCAGCTGCCTAAATGTGAAGGTCCTTGTTCAAACAAGTTTTCCTAGTGGTTCATTACAGAAATACATTTTTGTATCAATCTATAAGCATTCTATAACGATACTGTTATTATGGTAGCCTGTACTTTGACTGAAAGCTACTGACATAAGAAGCAGAGAACGCGATTTCTCAATAATGTATTGGACATGGCAGAAGTCTGAGGTGATGAGGACAGAACATGTTCATACCTGGTATTTTCCATAGAAAAAGGCAGAGTCAATACTAGTGTTGTTACGTTCGCCAACAATTAGTAAGATTCCCACCAGAAGTGTTGGGACACTGAAAGAGCAAAATACAAACAAAGTAACTTATTTAGCATGCTCCCACTAATTCTACAGGGAAACATCTGAATTAACTTACCCCCATCCAGCTATGATGATAAATCCAATGGGAATCTTTACTGTTTCTCTCTTCCTCAACAGAAACAAAGAGAAAGATAGAAAACCTACAAAAAACCAAGAAATGCCTTGTTAAAAAGGGAACTGATAAATACAGAGCCTAGAAACTCTATGATATGACCTGCTCAATAACCAAGATATTCTTCTCAGACCTTCAAATAGTCCAAAATTGTTTTTCATGTTGTATTCTGAGAAAGTAAAATAGAAACATCTATTATCTTAAAAAAAATCATATTAATAATGAAACATTGAAGAAATTCCAGGACGTTTTATATTAAACATCCACTTCTAAATGCTTAGAAAGGTTCACAAGTGTATAAAAGACGTTGTAAGAACATTTAAGACACAAGTAACTAATTTCTTAGGGTATCAACAGCAGTTGTTCTAGACTGACAATCTTAAGTAACCAAAAAATGTTGTATTCTGTTATAACATTTCTTTAAAAACTGACAAGTCAATGATAAATTTAACAAAAAAGTTTTACATATCTTTACACATATAGCTATATAGAGGAGTATCTTCTGGAACTGCCTATTCTATTCACAACTCAGAAGCTCAGAAACATTCCCCATGCTGAGGCAAAAATAGTGTTTATGTTAGGCTATACTAATCACGAGCTACCTATTTCAGCTAAACACAAATACAACTTACTCCACAAAAACACCACAGGAATTAAACCCTTAGACTTGTGGACTCAAGAATGGTATAAAAAGTCTCCTGAATACCCAAAGTCTCTTTTTTAATCATACATGTAAGGTTCTCCAAGCTTCTTGATGCATCTTTCAATTCTGCCTATTTCAAGTAATCCCTTCATTAATCATCTACACCTGCAGAACACACATTGTTTTTAGAAATTACAATTGCCGGGGAAAAAAAATGGTAAAGCTACTTTGGTATTTCCTTTCATTCTGTATTTCCTAGTTTTCTGAGGCACAAAGTCTTTAAATCTACTTAATGCTGAATAATTAAAATCTTAAGCTCTGCATTAATTAAAAATCACCAATAAGATTTCGACTAGCTGAAGGGCAACCAACCACATTCACTCTATTTGTAATCGCTTCTGCCTTGAGAGCAGGTTCTTGTCTTTTGTTACAAGCTAGTAAGGCTGCTATATCTAGCAAAGACAAACAAGACCTGCCCAGGTATAAGGTTCCAATAGCAGAAGCAGCGCCTGACACGGAGCCCTGTGTTGCTAGTGCTGCAGCTTGGCACAGCTTACAAGTATGCATATTTGTGGAACTACATACAAGCGAAAGGAACAATTACTCTGAAGAATATAATAAAATTATTTCAGTATGTTAATCTTTTATTACAGTACCTAGGTTCTGCCTAGAAAAACCATACCTGTCCACAGGTAGGTGCTATAAAGTGAGCTGTAGAGAAATATAAATACTAGGATCTGCATGGTGATGTCTTCTTCTTTAACAATGAAATTCCATACCATCATTCCAATGCAAGCAATAAACTGGAAAGAAAGGTAAGATGCCATCATTTAAATTGGGAAAGCAGGATGACAAGAAAAACTGAACGCAGTGTAATGTAGCTACAATAAGCTTCAAAACTCCACCCCCAGATTCATTGAGTGTGATTTTATGAATTGGATAGTTCTCATAGCAGTAAAGCAGTGCAGCAGTAAACTCAGTATTACAGTTATGTCACTGACTACGGTACCCTATTTTCAGGAGGGGTTTTTTTGACAGCAGTTATATAGCTCAGATAAACTGGGAGTAAGGCAAATCAGGAAAAAAAAAAATCTTTATAGGTCTTACAAGTAGTAAAATGTAAAGCTTTTGTTAAGTACAAACCATTTATCTGAAATGATTTGGATATGAAGCTGAGGTCAACAGATGTTTGCTCAGCGAAGAATTATACAAGTTTTCACCCAGTGATACTGCATATATGACAGTTTTAGTACTGAAGGAATCTGAAAATGTAGGCTGAAATATTATGGAAACAGTAGTACAGTAGTTCAAAATTTTAAGATTAAAGCTAACTTTGCTGTTATAGACAAGAAGCACCTGCAACTCTCATATGTGACTTTTTTGAAATGTGACTCCATGATCAGACCTCAGACGCTTTACTATATATATATTTGTTTTTTTTAAACTATAGAACACTTCAGAAAGCACTACCACGCACATGTATTACAAGCACAGGCTACTCTCACTGAATTTAACAACAGTTGCGCAGTTAACTTCAAGGGAAGAAGGAACATGTACTCTACAGCTTTTTCTCAGTTTATTTAACAACGTTGTGCAGTTAACTTCAAGGGAAGAAGGAACATGTACTCTACAGCTTTTTCTCAGTTTAAATAATAATTAAAATTAATCCAGAGCTATTCGGCTTTGCCCTTCCCTAGCCACCAGCCATGCATTCCCACACGTCTTCCTTGCATCAGCACTGGCACCTGTCTGATCCCTCAGCGAGCCACTTCAGGGAGCTAAACCAGCATGGGGATTAGTTTTCTATTTAGCTCCTTGAATCAGGTCACCATAGAGTCAAACACACGCTGCTGCCGATCCTGGCATTGCTGACTTCAGATTGGCATAAATTGATACAGAAGTGCACTCAACAGTATTAGGTAGTAACTTATAATGCTAAAAATATATTTCAGAAGCCACTCCCCATTCTGATTGCTTATAGTTCTGTTTGAAAACCATACTACCAGCATCAACTATAATTTTCTTCAAGGGTGTATTTTAAGGCACAGAAGTTGTTTAGACAAGTCGCACAGTAGATTCCCCTGCCCTCCATAGATGGCTACAAAGATATCACTGTAGAAACCAAACCTATAAAAATGTTAAAAGTAAGACTTAAAAAAACAAAACTCACACAACAGCATGCTTCTTACTACTGACCTGAGCAACAAGTAAATTTGTTGTAATCATATGAGGAAGCTGTTTGTATTTCTTACTGAGAACAACAACAATAAGAGACCAGATCTGTAACGTACAAGAAAAAATTGAATTTAAGAGTAAAACAAAACCCAAAAGAACAAGATGAGTATTCTGGCAGACTACGGTGAAATTAAATATACAACAAATCTTCTTGAAAAGTTTCTTGGCAACATGACTACTGTAGTCAGCTCCACACCATCTGCTGCCAGTCCCTATGCCTCAGCAACTACGGCCAGAAAAAGCAATGCATCTTTGTGTTCTCATGATGGTGAAATATATCCAGGAAGCACTAAGAGCTTGCCTCTAGAGTGCAGAAGCCTGGTTGTTCCTCAGGACATAAATGACCACAGAGTAGCCTGGCAATTTAGAATTTAAAATCCCCGCCCCCCTCCCCCTCCCCGAATCTCCCACAATGATCCGTGACAGCGGACAGCAAGAGCAGCGTTCACTTGTGGCTTCCCTTAAGGCACAGTTTCAACACAAGAGGACTTTGGTAAGACAACAACTTAGGAAAATTCCAACTCCGTCCAACACGGGTGTTTTTATTTTAAAAAAGCCAACAAAATAAACTACTATCTGTAGTGCCTATAAAGCCAAAACACAATTCACATTGGACTTCTGGATTATCAACCCACTTTTTAAGAACTGTGCACCCAGAATTTCTAGGAAAGGAATTTGATAAAGCTAAATTAAAACTTTCAAATTAAACATTTTCATTAATACTTATTACTATTTCATTAAACAAATATTCACTGACATTTCTGGAGCTGAAGTTTGTACACAGCCTCCATTACTGTGATAGCATCACAATGGCTTGATGTAATTATTCCCTGTGGTGTAAGCTAGTAGTGCTATTCCCCCACACCTTATTATTTAAAACAAAACAAAACAAACCTCCCCCTCCCCCCCAAACCCCAAACAACGAAAAGGAACAAACTTTTAAGCCCTGCACTAGTGCTCTAATTTATTTATCTATCTTTCTCTACAGTGCAGCTTTCAAGCTCACCCACTGCTAAATCAAGAAGATTTTTAACTCCTTCCTCACCCTTCTGCAACAGGATATGATGAGGAAACGCGAGTCATCTTATCATGACTCAATTTGCTGCTTATGTACTAATGCTACCCTGACAAGACAGTGTGCTTTTGTATGTCACTTCATCAACACCTACCAGAGAAATGAGGCTGACAATACTTATGTCAAAGCTAACATTTTGGAGTGCAGATGCCAGTGGGTTGGGGTCCATAGATGGAATGGTCAACAGCCACGCAGAAACATACATAATAGGTGCAGACACGAAAGTGCTTATCACCATGCCTGAGGTAATCTGCAAAAAGAGTCAAACAGAAACAAGAACTGAGTGAGTCAGATCTCAAGCTAAATAATCTGCTTTCAGGAATACAACCACTGGCAAAATTGTACCTTTGAATTAAACATACATAGACCTTTAACAAAACACTGAGTTGTTTCTACAACAAATTATTTAGAATTTGAGCCAGAAAGTATCTATTTTATACACACAGTTAAACTGAAAATTTTAACAAGCTTCTGAAATAGTAGGAATAGAGAGTTCCCTACTGCAAATTCTTACAGAGCTTTTTCATGGGTGTCAAATATACTGATGACTACAGTCTAAGGGTGGATTTACAATGTCACAATTTACTTTTGGATACAAAGATTCTCACTGTAAATAAATAAGAAAACATGTAGTTATGCAAATACTAATGCACCAATTAATGAGAAGAAGCCATATATATTTTCATTTAAGTGATTTCTATTTTGGTTTCTCATTGTCTTTCTGCTTTCTAGAATTTGCACAGTGATGGAAGTGTGAATTGTTACTCATACTACAGATACGACAGATCTCTCTTGGGCAAAATTCTATCTTGTAAGGTTTACTTTTAGCGTTTTTTTTTTTTCAACAGGAATGTTTTAATGTCACTTCAAGCGGAAGAAAGGAAACAGTTACAAAATTTGTATTTTAAGTTGAAAAGGTAATTGACACCCTCTACTATAAAAAAAAAAGTAAAATACATTTCTATAGCAAGATTTAACTGAAGGGCAACAAAATATAATCAGTTAAAGCATAAGTTCTTCCGTAAGTTTTCAGCATTAAGCTAACACTTTTCCTACTGAAGGCAGTAACATAATTTCTGTTTTTTCCTACAAAAACAGTAGCTCAAAGATAAGGTCTTCGAAAAAAAACCAAACCAAAAAACAACAAACGCACAACAAAGATACAAGTTCTTTATATTTAAAGTTATCCTAGTTCTTCCTACTAGAGTCACCAATAAGAAAAGTATGAGGACTTATTTATGAACGTGTACTATCAAGACACTTGAGACATCAGGAAAGAGTATTTTGCTTAATTAATAATCTGAAATATAATTTATATTTGAGGTCTAGGGAGTACAAGTAAATCTAAGGAGTCTATACCACAGAAAAGCAAAGTCATCAAGCCTACTTATTTATTTAAGTATGTCATCAACAAAATTAAGCTCAAAGTTAGTACATGTTTGGGAAGAGCTAACTACATACAATTCCTACTTCCATATTAAATTGACTTGCAAATATTGCGACACCAGGTGCTGCTGGAAAAACTCCATAAAGAAATGCATAGTTTGATAAACTGGTGTGGTTGACTATGCTGTCACTCTTGTCCAAAAGTTCCACCATTTCTCTACAGAGAAATGGCATCATAAGTCTGAAAAGAGAGGGAAAAAAGTAATTAAAAAAAAATATTACTCGAGCTATAGCAATAGACTCTTCTTTACTCAGAAAATGAACCAAAAGGAAATTTAAGGCTTGTTTGAGTACTATTTATGAAAAGCAAAATACTGACATTGCTTTGAATGATTGCCTTTACTGTTACCATGACATTTACCAGCTGCTTAAAAATTTTGTGTTACAGGTTAAACCAAAAAAGTCCATACACAGAAAAAATTGTAAAAAATGGAACAAACTCTGGGATATAAGAACATTCTCTGATTGTGCAGACACGTTCTTTGTATAAACCTCAGATTTAGAAAGGTAAAATATAAAACCCCCCCTCATTTTTCAACTGTTAAAGTAATAGTAGCTATAAGCAGTCAGCAAGCTTAAGCTTAAGCACCTTTCTGCAAGCTGTCTGAAATACAATAAGGGCTCAAGCTTAAGTACCCCATTCTGAAAGTTTTGGCCAGCAAAAAAACCCCTACATCAATGCTATTCTGTTCGCCTTTAGCAATACCCCAGATCTCACATAGATTCACTACATAAGCCTTACACAGGCTGATTACATAAACTCACCAGTAAAGCAAAGTGGTAACATGAAAAAACATTTTTTCCTCATGTTCTTACAAAATTTGTCATCGAGCTGGTTTACAGACTAGGTCTTTAAGTTTGCTAGTTAGTTGTACTAATATTCAAACGTACCTTCAAATTTTACAGTATAAACTTAACCACCAAACAATCGTTCTATTATGTTAATTGTAGCTCCGTAGCAAATAAAATATTTAGTTCACCAGTAACTGAGATATATTCAAGGGAAGATAATGATGGCGTAAGTTCTAAATACAAATTGTCATTTATTCATGCTTAAAAGTCAGACAGTTTAAGAGTGTAAAGCGACCATTTTTAAGCTCTTCCAATATAGCAGTTTCAAAGATTTATAGACAAAGCAAGGAAAACCAACTAATTTAGAGACGTGTTGTGTAATCCAAAGAAAATACAAATACTAATCAAATAATACTTAAACTCGCTCTTGTCTAACTATTTAACCAGTAAATTTTAATTTAAGCTAGTAATTCACCAAACACCCAATTCGTGACAGATGGTCTGTGGGCAGTCCATGAAGCCACAGCACCCCTCAATTTTTTTTTTCTGCAGAGCCTTACAACAGGTTAGTGGTGTGCAAAATTTCTTTTAAAAGTTAACAGTTGTATGCTATCAGAGTTTGGGAAGCAGTCACCCAAAATACTGGAAGTGAAACATACTATCGCTATAATGATTTTGAGAGAAAAGCCATCTGACCAGTATAATCAGAGCTTAAAACATCTAGAGAACAAAATTATAAAAGTACATAAATCGAACTTACAGTTTAGCTGTGATGAGAAGGATCAGTGCAACAAACATACCCTTTGTCAGTTTTTTTGTTTGTCCCACCATAGTTAGTCCAAGGTAAAAAAGTGCGGAGCCAGAAAATGAACTGCCCAGTCCGTCAAGGAAGTTTTCGAGGTATTCGGGAATTTTCTGGCCAAGAACAAAGTTTGAGGCAATTCCTATGAAGACCATGAATACAATTGGGTTCTGCAAAACTCGAAGGAGTGCTAGGCCCACTATTTTGATTTTGCTCTGTGACACAGTGCGATTATCTCTCCACTTCTGGATTTCACAGAAGATAAACCCGAGAGGGTTTAGCATCATAAGAGATATTGGAGCCACTAGGTAAATGTACTGGAGATATTCTGGGTAAGTGGTTTGATATAAAGCTTCAACTAGAAGACAGGAAATGAAAAGTGATGAGTGATAACATTTCAGTACAAAAATACATTAATACTGAAATTAAGTTTTGTTGTCTGAAAAGTACAGAAAAATTATTTCATTATCCTTTAGAGGTAACTGTATTTACAATCTATATAAGATGAGGTAGCAAGAGAAGTATGCCCAATCACCATTAGGCCACAGTCACGTAATGAACATGTTAAAAGATCAAAGATTAACTATCCAACACTATTTAATGATTCTACGAATATTCAAGATGTTCAGGAAAAAAAAGAAAATAATATAACAATCCCACACGCCCTTTGAGTCATCCCAAATGCTGAAAAAAATCGGGTTTTTTCTGAATTGCTTTTCTTCCCCAGAAACATGAGAGTCATGGAGAATTACATGCACCTTTGCAGGACACAAGTTGCTCCTCATCTTAGGGGAGTCTCACATCTCTGGAATTTAACTAGTTTCCGGTGGGTAAGTCAGGTATAATCTTTCTACACTGATTCCATACAACACAGCAAAGCAACAACCAAATAAAAAAATACATTAGCACATAATTATTAGTTCATTTTCTGGGACTACTCAGGACAAGAGTTATCACTGTAGTTCTAGTCCCTCAGGGAAATTTAAATCATGAGCATTTGTTTTCATTGCTACTACATACTTGTGAGTCAAGGTGGAACTGCTTCTTACTTTAAGTTTGTGCTAACAGCACTTCAAAAATCATGAAAAGTCTCTGGAAAGATATATAAGATTCTATCCTAGGGTGAATAAAAAAACCCACCAATATTTTTAAAGTAGGATTTTGTTTTCTTTTAATTATAATACCCTATAGTAAAGTCACTTGTAAAGCTGCAAGGTCTTGAATCCCGCGGAATGCAGATGGTTTTGGTCTCCCTATCATAATTTCATTACTTCATATTGAAAATGGAAAAGAAAAAAGAGAAATTATGCATATGAAGCATGTTCTCACATAAGCAGTAAAATAACATTTAAATTGCCATCACTGCTTCATGTTTGCATTTTAAGTGTGTTTTATAAACAGAGTTCAAGTGAAATTATTTTAAAACTTCTAGGTCTATACTGTTGTATTTCCTATATATGTATTAAATGATAAATTAAATCTACCAAAATTGCTGTTTATCTGGTTAGCAATACAGAGTTTATCTGTGTAAGAATGCCATGTTAACTTTCCAAACTTCTTTGGAAAGATAACATTTACCTTTTACCTGCCTTATAATGTTATTTCCAATAATTTTCAGAAATATGCAAGGTGATGCTTTCCATTTTCATTTTTCCTACCCAAGTTAGAGAGAAACACATTCTTCCCTGGCAGAAGTATCTTAATATGCAGATGCAATTCTGTTTGTACTACAAAGAATATAAAAAAAAAGGAAACACTATTGCATAAGTACACCTACTAGACCTTTCTATGGGATAACTCTGCACTCTTAAAGTACTAAATAAAGTTTAAGATCACTAAGCAGCCAACTGTTGCAGGTATTTCCATTTCCCCATATACTAAACCTGTTCTTTTTCTGAAAAAGTTTTCCCTCGTGACTATGTTTTTCAAAATCCAAAGGATTTTTACCTTCATATTTAGTTAAGCATCTGGAATGACAGGATCTACTAAGTGCTAAATGAGCATTTACTGTAAACAGCCTCCTCTTTAGATTGAATAAACCAACATATGCAATTAGTCGATTTTCAATATAAAAGAAGAAACACTAAAGGTGCTTTTCTTCTTACAAGCCGTGATTAAGGTATGTATACAAGAGCTACCTGTCTTAAAATCCTGAATAAACTGCTGAACCAAGTTAGTGGTTAGTTACTGCATTTAACAAGCCAGTTTTAAACACTGAATATATTCTGATAAATAAAACCACTTTAAACATGCTGAACACTTTTTATGTAAGTCAAAATTTTCTAAAACCCCAAACCTTAGAGCGATGCTTTTATGCTGCTTTATGCAGAATGCCCATTTCAATTAAATGCAACTCAACACAAGTCACATGTAAATACTGTCGGAGTAAAAAATGTAATAAATCTTTTTTTGGCAAAGTGAAACTGTATTCTTAATATATTACGCTCTATAAGTAATTTAACTGATGTATGAAGTCACAATGCATTTTCCTGGGTAGCATAAAGTGGAACCAATGCAGATTGCTGAGTCAGTGGGAAAAAAATAAGAAATCACTCTTAAGGAATCATTAAGACAGTAAAAATAATCCACAGGTTCTATCTCTGATGAAAAATTTTCTCTTTATTTAAATCAATGTGCCTGCTTGCTGATCGTAACAAAAAACTGAAATTAAAGATATTTTAATACTTTTTTTAAAAAAAATCAATTTTCCACATCCCAGCTGCTCAAAATTACATAAATCACACACCAGTTGTTCACGCTTAATACAATTAGCACCATTAAAGTCATGGTAACTGAGCCATCATCCACACGGCACTTCTGCTACACCTATGCTTTAACAATACAGCATCGGTGAGTAGATGAAGCTGTTCTGTCAGAGTTGTATCATCTCACGTAGCAATAACAACCAAACAGACAAAGCTTTCTATCATAGTAATTCTATCTATATCAGGGGATCTGCTAGCAAGTTTCTGTACCAGTTGTTTTTCACTCTGAACCAACATCAGTTTGTAGTGTAGAACTGTCATAACAGCGATTAGAGAAGAACAGAGTGGTGATCTTTGAAAATTTAATCTGTATTTTTATTTTCCTATGTGCAAATCTTTGCTCAACAGCAAAAAATAGCATAGTGGTTATTAAAGAAAAAAAATTACATGGGATGAAAACTCAGGACGTTCTTTATCTATTTAAGAGTTCAAACTGCCTTTTTAAATAGCGTAATTATAATACATGAATTTGTCAATACTGATTTTTTTTCCCTTTACAAATTTCAACTGAAGCAGCCTTTAAAAACATATTTCATTAAAAGATCTGGTTTTGCTCAAAACACTACCTATCATCACACCTGAAAAGAAATAAGCAAGGCATTCTTTGTTGCCTAGTCCTGCAAACACTTCAGAGAAGCCACTAACAGTAAAAAGTCTGCACACCTGACAGCATGAACCAAACACTGGTGAGAGTTTGGGGATGGGAGAAGGGAAGGACAGGAAAGGAAATAAACAGCTCTGAGAAATTAACAACCCTTAAGTGTTACTATTGTGTAAAGTATTCCAGTAAAGCTCCTAATGAACTAAGTGTTGTGAATTTGGCTAGATTGTACATAGAAGAAATATTAATCGTATTTTATAAATCATGAAATACTTGAAGAAAAATGCAATCTGACAAGAAAGTCATTCAAAGTAGAAAAAATGTTTTAAAATGGAACTATGTTCAGACAACCTCAAAATAGGAAAAAAGAGAAACCCTAACAGACATTTTAATCCAGTACCAAGAAACAAAGACATAAACCTCACAGCCTTATTTGTGATACGCTTCTGATTTCTCCCAAGAGGAATAAATCTCAGGAGATGCAACTGAGGGAAACTAGGTATTTTCATCTAGGGAAGAAAAAGTTTGCTATTGCATTTGTCTATATTTTATACATATCCAGCAAATTTGAAGGGAGTAAGAAAGATTCAAGATTCTCCTGAGCATGCTGCCCTGGAACAGGGAGAATAAAACTGCCAACCCTCAAGTAATCTAAAATATGGAGCTACTTGTTGTTACGTATAATCTGGAATTGCATGTTTAAGCTTCTCTTTTGTAACTGTATTTTCAATTCGGTAATCAAATATCTCACTTTTCGCTTTGCTAGAACAAACTTGCTTTCTTTTTTTGTTCTTAACCTTCTTAACCTATGTCTGGATGATGAGAGTGATCTCAAGAGAATTTGAGAGGCACAGAGTACTTTCTCTTCAGGGAGCAGCAAACAAATAAAACATAGTCCAGGCATCCTCTCCAAATGCCTTCCACTCGAGGTGTATTTTGAAGATCCTGATACCTGCAGTGTGCATTCCCACACCAGCCACACGGGTCAGCCTGGGGAGAGGCAGCACTGAAAGCTACATTGGCACAAAAGAGCCTCCCAAGGCAGGTAAAAAGCACTGCAATTCAGACAGCAGCAAGTGGGAGAAGCCTGCTACAACTCCAGATCACTTCCTAAGTATCACAATATGTATGGCTAAAAGCATATTAACATACCATTAAGAAAACCTATAAAAATGAAAAAGAAAAAAAAATCTTCCTTAACAAAAGAAAGAAAATATCCAATTTATCCCAATAGATTGGGATAAAATTAAGTTTAATAACTGATATTGCTTGGAATTCAGAATATAGGCTTATAAGAACAAGAGTACACAGCCACACAAGTTATACTCTGAATGCCTCTTTGTTTTTTGTTTGTTTGTTTCTTAGCTCCACTGAACTAGTGGTTAGTTAGACATCCCAAGAATGGCACCACAGCCGCATAAAATTCTGATTTGAGATACACAAATGCAAGTTACCACAAATCACACAGCAATCTTGCTTTTAAAAGACAGACTTCTTCCAAGACTATATCCTAAAGCATGTCTACTGGCCACAATAGAATAAAGATTAAGGGATAAAACATGATTGGCTACATAAATTATGTTAAGTAGCACAAAAATTAGAAGTTTCTTCTGAACAGATTTGAAGTTTGTCACACACATTCCACAACCAGTAGGCACCAACATTATGGATAGAAGTTTTCTTTGAGCTACACTAAGAGGTAATGCCAAATTAGTAAAAAACCCACTACAGCTATTTCAGAGACCACAAGTACAGGCTTATACTTTGCAAAGCAAGAAATTTTGGTCTTGAGGGAAACTCTGGCAATTTCCCATAAGGGCATTCTTAACCTGCAGTAAGTGGAAGGTAATTTATACCAATTTTGAAATTGTATTTTAAATCTTCCCCCCCCCCCCCCTGTTTTACTTTAACATGACAAGATCAGATCACAGACAACAGTAGTTGTGGATTGTTTAATTCTGTCTCATTCGTATCAGCTGACAGTTTTCTTCCCTTACGTGGTCTGAGGTCAAGAAATATGAATTGAGAAATTGCTTAGATAACTCATAACTTCAGAAGTCAATTTCAAATTACGGAAAAATAAAAGCAAACATGTCTAGAACATTGAAAAATAGTTTTAAAGAAGAAAGCATAAGGAACTACTTACCTATCGGATATCCCAGTGCAAAGTCATTGCTTTGTGTAGCAAAAATAGGGAACAAACCTGCTTTGCTAAATCTATTCTCAGGACTGGCTACCAACAATGTTAAAACACAGACTAAGAAAAACACAGCAGCTTTGGCAACTAAAATACTGTACAGGAAGGACCAATTCACATTAGAAAAGTTAAGTACCACCATGTTTTTGAACAGCAGAGCTGGGAGTGCAAAACGGGACACAAAATTTCCCAGTCCTTTGGCCTGAGTTGTTGTGATAATGTTGGCTCTTCCAGCTATGTAGCCACAAAGAATTATTCCAAAGCATTCTAACAGGGCTGGGAAAAGCCTGCTTATTGACATAGAAGGAGTACCGCCAGTGGTGTTGAGTCCAACTTGTCCAGGCAAAGAAATAGACATATTAGCTGAAGATGAGAGGTTCTTTGTATTGAAGTCTGAATAGTTATCCATTTCCTTTGACCACCTCTTCCAAAAAAAGAGTTTGAAATGATCTCATCTGTAAAAGAAAAAAAAGTATTTATTTATTAACTTCCAGAACTGTGTTTGTGAATATTTATGGTATCAGGCTTGCTGACAGAAGAGTTTACACTTACAAGTGCATTACAAGTAAATAATGAGACAAATAATAAGTAGCTACAGAGAAACAACCCTGAGAAAGAAGAATGCTGAAAAATCATTCCATACACACACCATCTTCACACTTCTTTGTCTCACAAGTCCACACAATTCAACAAGACAATTGATAGAGGCTAAAAATTCCCAAAGAAATTTGAGGGTAACACTGAAATATTAAAACTAAATGTAGATTGGGCATTCAAAAGGCAAAAAATCCATTGGAAGGAAAGGAGATATAACAAGGATTTTTTTGTTGTTATTATTCTAGGATCTAAACATCATTTAGAATAAATTACAGCCCTTCAGCACTTTCCAGTCATTTCAGAAAACAGTAATTGCTAAATTCTCGGTGTACATTCCTTGCTTTCCTGGACTACCATTACAAGCCTAGCTAACTCTCTAACAGGAACGCATAAGACTCTTTACATATTTGTTAGCAGCTTGTAACCTTTCTTACCTCCTCAGCTCACTGTCAATTCCCAACTCCAATTCTCACACACTCTTTGCTTTCAACTATCAGATTGTTAGTTTTCTTTTCTGACTCCTTTTGTTTGCCTCAAGACATCTTATCTCATGTTCTCCCTAAACCATGTCCTACTTGGTTCTTTTTCCTTCACAATAAAAATACACTTTAAACTCCCAACATTAAAATCCCATCCTTGACCTCCCTTTAACTACTGCTGTTCACCTCTGCTTCCACACGCTCAGTTTTACACATGGTCAGGAGTCCTCCTTCACCTCCATCTTTAGATCCTATTTAATCCACGTTCTGCCCCTGAAACAGCTCTTACCAAAATCCTGAGAGGCCAAAATCTTCTTAAGCTCTCAGAACTGGTGTTCCATTTTCATCCTTTGTGACCATCATACACCTTTATCATAATCATCATCATCTTGAAATTTTGCCCTTCCCATATCTTTTGTAATTATAGCTCCTCCTAACTCTCCTCCCATCTCTACTTGTTCCTGTAACATTCACATGGGAGGATCCCTCTAAATTTCTGTGGGTGCTTATAGGACTCCTTCCTTGTCCATCTTTTGTCTTCCTACATCCTCTGCCTGTGTACTTTCATAAGCACTTATACCATTATAAATAGATGAGTCATAGATCTCTCTAATCCAGACCTATCTTCTTCTGTTAAAACTATCATTTCAGCCTGTCTCCAAGATCTCTTTTGTGAATATTCTGCTGTCAATTCAAGTCCAATGAGCCTGAAACTGTTCTCCTATTCTCCCAAAAAGATGCTCCCTCAGTTACTCTGTGCCGTGTATCTGTTTTCCTAGAGGCGAGTGATAAAGGTTACAAAATCCTCTGATTGGAGGGAAATGCAAACTTACTGAGCTCATATTCATCTGTAACTCTGTTGCAAGGAAAAATCTTCACAGTCTATCAGTATCAGTTCTTTTTTTGTACATCCTTCTACGGACTCATTCTCCACACATCAAAAACCCCTTGCTTTCATATTCTTTTACAGTCTAAGCTTATGCCCCCTTAATCTATCATGGAAAAACAAGAGGAATAGCTCTTACAAGAACATGAGCACCAGGCAAGGAAGATAAATTTGGCCAAGAATTGTAGCTTCTCTACCATGGCACAAAAACATTTGGCAAGACTCTCTCTACCTTCAAGAAATATTGAGAGATCAAGTCATCATATCACCCTTCAAGCTTGTAACTTGCTTTGTGCAACTTTGACCTCTCCCAGCATTTCAGTATCATGTGCTAATGATACACTTTTCAGTTAGCAAGAGATCCACATATGACACAGTGGCTGATGATCTAATTCATCACGCTATTGCTTACCTGTATTCCTACATACAGTTCTTTAAGCCCGTAACAGTGACATTTAAGTATGCATTAAATTAAGTATTTATGTACAACAGATATGTCTCGTGACTCCTGATCTTCACTTGTTACCAGTAACCCCCTTTGAAAGGGCTGACTATAACACAGCAGGTTCTATATGCAAGTAGACATATAAAGTCTGCAAATTAGATGAAGGGAGACGACATCAAACACCAATATTCAGTGCTCAACAGCAAGGTCTTGCCAGAAACAGATATGGCTTTAGTGATACAGCTCTGAAATGTGCAGTCCATCAGCTAACTCTACATATAAAATTTTGACACGACTAAGTCCTAAAGTACTCTGGAAAGGAAGTCAAGATAATTTACCCCATTTTGTAGAGATAGAAACTAAGGCAAAGGCAGACAGATTTGCTGTAAGCCGTTTAACATACCAGTGGCAAAGCTGAGATTCCCAATTCCCAAACCAGTGCTTTGTACAGCACAATGGCTAGATCTGTGCAAATTAACGCCTGGCTAAAGGGTCTTCCCAGCCTCTTTGTATCCTATCCTCAGGGAATAGAGAGCTCATAACAGCCAGGTAAATAAGCAAGTAAATCAAGTCAGAGCAAAGGTGAGATCTTGTATGCTGTATTTCATACCCTGGCATCCAGCATACACATATTCACATGTAGCATAAACTCTTTGACTCATTACTTTTATTTATGCCTGAAGCTTCTAGTAAGCAATCCTACAATGCTGTTGTAATTTATCTGGACCGAGCAGCTGCATCATCCAAATCTGTCCAGTGGCCTCGCCTACCTCTTCTCCCAAGGCAAATGAGTCTCACTCCAAGAAGGGTTTATTTTAAAGGTGGTATTTTTCTTATGTTATAGATGATACATTCGCCCAGATGTATTTGGACTGGGAGCCCAAAGCATTATCTATCATACAATGATGGAAAAACTTGCAGTAAATAAAGCAGACAACAAACCATTTCTTCTACTGGCAAAACTTAAGGAAGTTGTCGGGATTTGCAAAATGTCCAAAAGAGGATCAGAGACAGATTTCCAACATTGCATTCTTCAAAGAAGCCAGCCACATTCTACACTAGCTGCAAGGTGAAAAGCAGGTTTTTGGTGCAGCCCCACCTTGAATTCTTCAATGTTGCAGCAATGCATAGAGGTAAGGCTCCTGGCAATGCAGAATGTTCAACCTATGCCCTGCTCTGTTGAGGTACTTTTTCAGCAATAAGATAAATGTGAAGCTTTTTTAACCAAATGCAACATTTGATCTGTAGTGGAAGAGTACTTTGGCTGTATCCATTCTTAAGTTCTGCCATTCCTTCTCATCCCCCATGCCTTCCTATCCAAGGCTGTATCTTTTACCATCGTGCCAACACTAATGACAAAATTTATTTTCTGATATTCTTACTCACAAAAGCCACAGTCTACATACAGTTATCTAGACTTTTACCACTATAACATCTCCTTCCTCTCTTTCTCTCCTGAAAAGTTGTTTGAGCTATCCAGGCTTTTTGCTTGCACAAACTAAGCCTTCACAGGTGAGTCTATCAATATAGCTACACAAGCCCATACTTTTAAACCAAAATTGTGCCTAAATTAAACACACCTCTTCCCTCTGTATTAAAATTATTACTTCTCCTCATAAAATCGCTACAAAATATACAAGTATCCTTGTCCCCATTTTATAACTCAGGACTTAAATAAATATGCAGAAAACTGACTCTTTAGTTGTACCAGTCAGTAGCACGTGCTAAATCCCGTATCTTCCTCACAAGATCAAAGAGCTTGTAGGTATTTTCCAGAAACGCAAGCTCTTGCACAGCGTGCTGCTTAGCACAGTGAATACACCTCTCAGCCCCTTTTGCTCTATAGGATACATGCATTTACATAACTGTTGTGAGATTATGTAATGACTAATCGCAGATTTAACACACAGCCTTATCACACCTGGGGCTTAACTCAAACTAGCATCTCACATGAGCGAAAATGTCTTCAATTCACAGTTCTTAATGAAATCAAAGATATTGATCTGATGTAAAACCAAAACCTTATATATTCTACACAGAAACTCATCTGTTCTTACAGTAGATGTAACTAGTCAAATGACACTAAAATAAGGAAATATAACACAGTTCCAAAGAAAAGCACTTAGCTTTGACTCCATAGGACATATGATTTGTGGTTATCCCTTCAGGGATTGAGGATTGAGATTTGAATCCTCAAAAACTCAGACGCAGCTGCATTGTTGGGAACTGCAGGCCCATGAAGACAAAGCTTTTAGGAATAACGCTGCCTCATCTGCTGTAGACTGTGTCAAGCATAGCTGCTTGCAGCCAGATTGTCAGCTTGCATTCGTAAGGCAGGACAGTGCAGCCAGCACGAGGGGAAGCCTGGTATGAAGACCAACAATAGACAGAGAGCAAGGAACAAGTGCAGTTTACAATTCCTTTGAAACAAACTGGAGCACTGATATTTGCCCACTTCTCTCGAAGGTTGTCAATATTTGTAAAGTGTTAAAATTCACCAGACCAGAAAGTCAATTCTCCAGCAGCTGTGAGTTAAGCAACATCTGGTTCCTCTCTGAGTACCAAAATAGAGAAGTTGTCTCCTTTTCCAGCAGGAAAATCCCTTTCATCTTCTTTTTTAATGAAAGTCCAAGACGGTATGAGAGAATAGAAGAGATACCTCAACATACATCTCTCTGGTCTCTCACTCTCAAGCTTTCAGCTGATAATCACTCTCAGAATAATTCTGGTGACACTGGCAAGGCTGTGCACATTGTTCATAAATTATATCCCACAACATGACCTCATTTCCTACCTTAATGCAATGTAGAAACATCCCAAGGATGACATATTATTTTATTCAGGAGGCTGAAAGTGGAATCGGGGCAGGAAGAGTTACCATTTATGGCAGCTCTAGCACCTCATCCTCAGCTCAGATAAGAACATACCATATGCACGTTCGCGTAAAAGTTTGTACAGTAAGTCAAAGAGGAAGCAACTTTAGAGAGTTACAATGATAAAAGTGGGAAGAAGTGTTTACTGCAGTTCCTATTCCTGCAAGTTAACCGCAATTTTTACTTTTCTCTCTACTGGGCTAAGAAAGCAGATACAGGATAATATCGTAACGGCAATTAATCCCAGAAGTGGGCCACCACTAGCTTGAAATCCAGACAACACGACAAGAAATATTAGACCTTAAATGTCTCTGAGCAGTTGTTCTTCAAGATCACATTTCCTTTTTCATTTTTTTTCCTATGCTGTCATTCCAAGAAAGCACCTGGGCAGTGAAGAAGCTGCATGCACAGGAAGCCCAGAGAAACCGTGGCCTGCCCTGAGCACAGGACTGGCAGAGCTCGCAACAGCAACACTTAAAGCTACATCAAAATTTGTCAGTGTGGGTGTTCAGCCAAGACCAAATGAAGCAACAGTTGCCAACAGCACAAAACACCAAGCCAGAAAAATGAATGGAAAACATACCTTCCCTTAATTCTCAATTAGGCTCATCTTAGGGCTTGTCAACAGATAGATACATACTTTTGAAGCAAATGGCAAAACATTTTTCAAAATACAGATTATATTTTATTGTCAGCACCCCTTAAGAAGCGCCTCACTTACCCCACTTGCCAAATAGGGATGAAACATCCTTTGACTTACAGTGAGAAAGCCACGACAAAACAAATGCCTCTCTCCTGCCCCTTCCTTGCCCATCACTGCTCTCCTTTCCATGGTCACCCCAGCTACGAGCACATAGCATTTTCATTCAGAAACACCCAAGAGATAAAAAAATAACAGCACCATCCTGTGTGACAGCTGCCTCATTAGAAAATAAAGCTAGAAGTCGGGGGAAGGAGTGGACAGCTTACCTACTCAGCTTTTGGTAGGCGCCTCCGCACAAGGGTATGTATAGAGGATTTGTACTCTGCCAAGGTGAGAACCTCTCAAGGCCGGAGCCTGCCAGTACCGAGGCCCAGGAGCAGAGGGCTGGCCCGGCCTGGCCCGCCCCG